AATCTAACTGAGCTACCCAATCAAGGTTAGAACTTCTCTCTCTCTCTCTCTCTCTCTCTTTTTTTTTTTTTTTTAAAGTGTGTATGTATGTATTCCTCACCAAGAATATTTTTTCCATTAATTTTTTGAGAGAGTGGAAGGGAGAGAGAAAGGGAGAAGGGGAATACGGAGGGATATATATATATATATATATATATATATATATATATATATATATATATAAACAAACATTAATTGGTTGCCTCCTGAACATACCCTGACCAGGACGGGGATCGAACCTGCAACCCAGGTACATGCCTTTGACCAGGAATTGAACTTGTGATCCTTTGGTGCACAGACAAATGCTCTAACCACTGAGTCACACCTTCCAGGGCTGTTTAAAAAAAAAATTATTGATTTTAGAGAGAAAGAAAGAGGAAGGGGGAGGGGGGCATTGATTTGTTGTTCCACTAATTTTTTTTTTTTAATTCAGAGAGGAAGAGAGAGAGAGAGAGAGAGAGAGAGAGAGAGAAACATCAATGATGAGAGAGAATCATTGATTGGCTGCCTCCTGCACAGCCCCTGCTGGGGATGGATCCAAAAAACCAGGCATGTGCTTTTGATGGGAATCAAACCCAGGACCCTTCAGTCCACAGGCCGACACTTTATCCACTGAGCCAAACCGGCTAGGGCTGTTCCACTTATTTATGTATTCATTGGTTGCTTCTTGTATGTGCCCTGACTGGAGATTGAACCTGCAACTTTGGTATATTGGGCAGACATGCTAACCAACTGAGTTGCACAGTCAAGACAACTTCCTTCCTCCTTCCTTCCTCCCTCCCTCCCTTCCTTCCTTCCTTCCTTCCTTCCTTCCTTCCTTCCTTCCTTCCTCCCTCCCTCCCTCCCTCCCTCCCTCCCTCCCTCCCTCCCTCCCTCCCTCCCCTTCTTCCTCCTTTCCTCCCTTCCTTCCTTCCTGCATCTTATTTCTTGATTATAATCTCAATTCCTACCTTAGTTCTTTGGTTCTGACTGGATCAATTTCAGAGAACACCAGGTTGCCTCTATTCTCTCTTCCCACTATGTGGACACTTAGGATATCCATTCACTTGTTTCCTTAGTCTCTCTTCAGGTACATGGAATATAGAATTTTTTTCATATTTAAAGAGACTTTTTAGAATAGTGTTAGGATCAGAGCAAAATTGTGAGGAAGGTACAGAGAGTTCCCATTTAACCCTTCCCTAAATGTACATAGCCTCCCCCATTATCAATATCTCCCACCAGAGTGGTGTATTTGTTATAATCAGTAAACCATTCACACACCAAAATCATTCAAAGTCCATAGTTTATATTACCATTCACTCTTAGTGCACATTCTATGGGTTTGGACAAATGTGTAATGACATGTATTAGTCACTGTAATATCATACAAAGTATTTTCACTGCTCTAAAAATCCTGTGTGTTCCACCTGTTCATCTTTTCTCCCTCCCCCAGTATGCCTCAACCTTTGACAACCACTGATCTTTTCATTGTCTCCATAGATTGCCTTCTCCAGAATGTCATATAGTTGGAATCACAGTATGTAGCCTTTTCAGACTGGCTTCTTTCACTTAGAATTATGCATTTAAGGTACTTCCATGTCTTTGTATGGCTTTATGTCTCTTTTTTTCCTGAGTAATGTCCCATCTTCTGAATGTTCCAGTTTATTTACCCATTCAGCTACTGAAGGATATCAACCCAGCACTGACTGCAGGACTGACTTCCATTTGGTTGAGCCTCCGTCATTGCTGGTCGTTATGACCCAGGGTCTTTATATATTAGGATAAGTTCTTCATCAGATATGCCTTTTGCAAATTTTTTTTTCTCAGTCTGTGGCTGTTCTCATCATTTCTGTAGCATCCCACTCTATTAAAACACAGTTATGTAACTTAATTTATCTTTTTTTATTTTTCTCTCCCATACTTAGGACCCAACTTTGCCCAGTCCCAAGCCAACCAAAATTCAGACAAAAAACCCCAAGGCCAGAGGTAAGCAAGCCAGCTGGAAATGTGTTACAGTTAAGGCAGGGTGAAAGCAGAGAGTGTAACGGGGCTGTAGGTAGCTGGAACTTACTGATTGTCTCAGATCCAAAACCTGAGAAAACGGCAGTAGTCATGCTAGTGTCATTGGAGAATCTGTAGCGTCCTCATTTCTGTGTATTGAATTATAAAAATCTTAGGAATGAATGTTTTAAATTCTTAGCAAGAAGCATAACTTTCTAGAGAAGAACCATGAGGAGAACCATGAGGAGAAGATGATGGGGTGGGGGATAGGGGAGAAATACTGGGGAGGAGGGAGAAATTGAAGTAATTTACTAGATTAAGATTAGCAGAAGATGCAGGACAGAGACTTAAATGGGGGAGTCAATGGACCCTTGACAAGTTGTTATTTAGAGAGAAATAAATGTTCTTCATGGTTGCGGGTGTGGGGTGATGCAGGAATAGCAGATGGACGAGATGGGACTCAGCAAAGGAAACCAGTGAAGAGATCTCTTGGAAATGAACCTGCAGCTGCTCCTATACCCATAATGGGGAGGAAAAAGGTGCATGGCAATTCAGATCCTGACCAGCCAGGTAAGGCTCTAGACCACATGTGTCAAACACAAGGCCCGCGGGCCAAATCCGTCCCGCCAGGCCTTGCAATGTGGCCCGCACCGCGCTGTCATCACTGCACTCCGCTGCGTTTCCATCACAATGACAGTTTATGACTGTTCAGTAAACCATTCGGCCCGCGATTTAGGCTGGATTTTAGATTTTGGCCCCTTCTCTGATTGAGTTCGACACCCCTACTAGACTTTGGAAAAAGTTTGAGGAAATAGGGTTCATGTCAATATCTCCTCTCTCTGGATAATTTTAAAACAAGTCTATACTTTTTCATTACTTTAAAAAGAACAAACACTGCTCTGACTAGTTTGGCTCAGTGGATAGAGCTTCGGCCTGCTGACTGAAAGGTCCCAGGTTTGATTCCGGTCAAGGGCATGTACCTTGGTTGCGGGCACATTTCCAGTAGAAGGTGTGCAAGAGGCAGCTGATAAATGTTTCTCTCTTATCAATGTTTCTAACTCTCTATCCCTCTCTCTTTCTCTCTATAAAAAATAAATAAATATATAAAAAAAGAACAAACACTGAACAAAACGGCATTTCTCAGAGTGTAGAATGCAGTACATACTATCCATAGTAATAAAAGCATAATATGCTGATTACACTGGACGCCCTTCCGGACGTCCTTCCAGATGACCTTCTGGACGAAGCCAGGGCTGCGAGGGAAGCCTGTGTCCCAGGTGCTGGAGGGAAGCCCGGGTCCTGGGTGCCAGAGGGAAGCTGGTGCCAGCAGCCGGGGAAGGAAGGCCTATTCTTGCACAAATTTCATGCATCAATCCTCTAGTACACATGTGTCAAACACAAGGCCCGCGGGCCATATCCGTCCCACCAGGCCTTGCAATGTGGCCCGCACCGCGCTGTCATCACTGCACTCCGCTGCGTTTCCATCACAATGACAGTTTATGACTGTTCAGTAAACCATTTGGCCCGCGATTTAGGCTGGATTTTAGATTTTGGCCCCTTCTCTGATTGAGTTCGACACCCCTACTCTAGTAGGAACGTAATGGTTGTGGATTTGGTTTGATCCAGAGACCCGAGAATGGTAAGGAGGAGGAACTAACATTTATTGAGTATTGTCATGCAATGGCTAGATAGATATGTCCATGTTATTCCCTTTCATTTTTTTTTTTAAACATCTCTATGGCTGGATATTTTCCATTTCAATTATAAGGAGATGGAGGCTCAAAGAGATTAAAATTTGCTTATCCCATGTCTCTGTCACGGTTGATCCTTGGCTTGACTCCAGGTCTTTCTGACTCCAAAGCCCATTTCCTCCTATTGAGAGAGGTAATCCTTTCCAGAGTTCTAAAAAAATATATTAACTTTGGAGTTTGATTTGTAAAAGGTAAGGACAGATGACTTAACAAGATTCTCAGTTCTTTCACTTTTTAAATTTAGGTCCTGAGAAAAAATTTAAAGCTCCCCAAAGCAAGGCTTTGGTACCCAGCTTGTCTGAAGAAAATGAAGTTATAATAGTGCCAGAGGGCCTGATCCTGCCAGCTCATCACAAGGCCTGTCCTGCCGTGGGGAAAGAAGAGCCTGGACTTCAAGAACTACAGGAGGCTGGACTCTTCCCTCCTGACGATGAAGCCTCCAGTGACCTTGACCTTGAACAACTCATGGAAGATGTTGGGGAAAAGCCAGAGCAGGGGGTGGAGCTGCAGCATGGAGATGACATGGAGGACTTCATCTTCTTTGAGGAGTAGTTCTGTGCTCTTGTGTTCTCGTCCCTCTTCCCTGAGAGTAGGAGGGCGAGTCTCTCAAACGGCCCCAGAGAATGATTGGGATTGACCATTGACTACAAGATTAATTTGCTGAAGTTAGAGTTGTATGGTTTATGTGTTAATAAAATAGGTTACTGGCTTAATTGGTTTGGCTTATCTCTTAACCACACGCTTCCTTTTGGCTTCTCTCCCTCCTCCTCTATGTCATTGTTTCTGCTGTGAGGCCTGCACAGCATAGGAATCTGGGAAGGCAATGACCCCTGAGTTCTAGATGAAGGGCATAGAAAAGGGCAGGACTGGATTCAAATCCTGGCTCACCATTTACTAGCTGTGTGGCCTTAGGAAAAGCACTGAAGCCATCCTGGTTCTTTGTTCATGTCTCAAATGAGTACATCCAATATCGTATAGGGTTGTTAACATTTATTTATTTATTTATTTGTTTATTTATTTATTTAAAATATATTTTATTGATTTTTTACAGAGAGGAAGGGAGAGAGATACAGAAACATCGATGAGAGAGTCATCGATCAGCTGCCTCCTGCACGCCCCCTACTGGGGATGTGCCTGCAACCAAGGTACATGCCTTTGGCCAGAATCGAACCCAGGACCTTTCAGTCCGCAGGCTGACGCTCTATCCACTGAGCCAAACCGGTTTCGGCTGGGTTGTTAACATTTAAATGAGGTGATGCATAACAATACATGCCAGTTATCATTATTTGGTGAGTAGAGTGGTTAGACTAGGGGGCAGACCTTGGGTTCCAGGCTGCCTACCCGTGTTTGGTAACTTATTGTTTCCAGGCCCGACGCAAGCCCTGAACTAGAGGAGGGATCTTGGGCGTGAGCTATCTATTGTAGCTCATTTTTGGAAAGAAGGACAGAAGTTGAAGGAGACATCAATTTTTTTCTCAGACGCATTCAGGCAAATCCTACAGATACTTTTATTTTTGTGGGCAAGGGAATGAGGTGAAGAACTGGAACAGATGGCTATTTTTCTTAGGTCCTTGGTGGCCTTCCACCCCGGTGTCTGGCTGGGATTATTAGGGAAGTGGTGATCCCTCTGTGCAGCTTACTCTGAGGAGGTCGTCATGCAGTCCCACTCCTTAGGTCTTTAAGGTAGAGTACAGGGTCTCTTCCTGGGGGCTCCCGGGGAGAAGGGGGCCAGGAGGTGCTGGCGGTGAGGGGGAGGCCAAACTGGAGAGGGTAAGGGAGGCATAGAGGATGCCATCAGCCTGTGTGAGAACAGAAAGAGAAGGGGTTAGAAGTGGAGGGGGGGCTGACCTCATCTCACATGAGTGATCTCATACCTGAGTGCCCCGCTGATACCTCCGTCCCTCTATTCTTCCCACCCCTTCTTCTCCAAGCTTCTCTTTAATTCGTTCAGGCTCGAGTCAATTTCTTACCTTTGGGTCCGACTTGGAGTTTCTATGTAGTCCTAGGAAAAAAAAAAAAAAAGTGCCAGGATCAGAGCATGGCAGCCAGGGGAGAGAAAGGGCAGAGGGCTCAGTAGTGAGGTCATCTGCTAGGTCAGGACCGGGGGCCGGGGGAGGGAGGGGTGAGGCATGGGAAAGAGGAAAACGCTGGGGGCACGTGTGGGGAGAGAGTGTGTAAGGAAGAAGGAAGGACCAAGGTGGAGAGAGGGGAGTGGTGGTGGTAGAACTGACCTTCATGCCCAATGTTCTCGTTCTCCTCCTCAGCGTTAGGGAAGGATCCCCTGCGTGGGAAGGAAAGGGTGGGAAGTGGGTTAGAGGCTGGGCAGAAAGGAGTAAAACCTGCATCAGGCTGGTTCTCTTGGGGGCTCTGCGACCTGCTTGGACCGACTCAGAAGATGTAGGCAATGGTTTGAGGCTCTCAGAGGAGGCTGCCTGGACAAGACTGAGAGGCAGTTTGTGGTGTAGCCCGGGAGAGGCCTGAGTGCCCCCTGAAGGAGGACTGTTGTAGGGAGCCGCTGTTGTCGGAAGGGCACCGGAGGGGAAACCGGAGGGTGGATTCCTGTCCTCTCTGCTGGCATCGCCTCTGTAAGAACTGGAGAAGGAGAACAGTGACGTTCACCTCACAGCCTCTGGGTGGGTGTCAGGCCTTGGTCCCCAGGAGGAGACACCGTCCTGGGATGGGACCTGAGTAAGGCAGCTGGCAAAAGTCAGGGAGGAAGGAAAGGTGGGAGGGGGTCTAGGGAAGGGAAAGTGTAGAAATGGGAGGAAGGATGGAGAAAAGGAAACTGGTGGGAGGGTGAGGAGGACCAGTGCTCAGGGCAGGAAGGAGATGCCAGCACAGAGGAGAGGAGGCCAGGCTGGGAGCTGAGGGGGAAGGTGCTCTGAGAAAAGGCAGAAGGTAGAGCAGCTGGAGGCAGATGATTCTGTGGCCATTATGGGCGCATCACCAGGAGAAAAGGCAGATTGGACAATGAGCAGGAAAGAGGAAATAATGTGGAACAGGAAGACCTGGGAAGGATGATGTTCCAGGTAGAAAGAAAACAGGTGAACAGAAGGAAAAGCTGAGAAAGGGCTATGAAAGGAGGAGAAAGGGGTTTCCAAAGAAAGAGCAAAGGGAGACATTCTGGGAAAGAATTACAGAAACTGCTGGACCCCTCGGTCCGCTGTTCTTGGTTTTTGGCTTGTTTGCTTTTGAGGAGCCAGAGCCGCAGGACATGTAGAGCCCAACCTGTTGGGGACACCTGAGGGTGCGGATGCTAATGTGAAAGCGGAGGGTGAGAGCAGCTGTGAAAGACGCCCTCACACAGTCTCATAAGGACCCCTCCTGTTTCCCAAACCAGCACCCCACCCGAGGACAGGCACTCACCTGTCTGGGGCTCTTGCCGTCTTTCCACCTTGAACATCATCCTTCTCACATTTAGTCTGCAGACCTGCAGAGGGACCCACAGCAGGTCAGCGTGCCATCCATGCACAGCATCTCTCCTGCCCTCTCTGCTCCATCCTACTCTGAGACCGCCCTCGGATAAACCAGGGCAGCAGAGCAGCTCTGCTGAAACCCAGGCTGGAAGGGCCTAGGACTCAGAGTGGCACCAGCTGGCATCCTGAGGCGGCCCCACCTCTCCTGGTTTTGTCCTCAACACCAACTCAGGAGAGCAGCTCTACTCTGCACCCTGTGCCCCCTCATCCTGCCCTCTCTCCCTGACTTTCCCTCTGCTTCCTTCCACTCTCCTTGAACTCCTTGCAATGCCTCAACCTTCTCCTTCCACTGCTGAGCCCAGCCCACCTCCCCTCTCCCTCCCCCATCTTGTCACAGGCACCATCCCTCCTCCTGCTGTGATAAACCAGCCTCTGATGCTTTCCTTGGAGTGCTGACTGTTTCTCTCTCCCACCTCTGAAGCTCAGGGCTGGAATCTGTTTGCACTGCAGCCTGTTCTCTCTTCCACCGAGGACTCTGCTGTTCTTCCCCACATCCCTGCACTCTCCCCCTCCCACTCCCTCTCAAGTCTCTCCAGCATTTCCCAAGCTTTGGGCCCTGGTTCACACACATCTCTCCACCACTGTCACCTTCCTATGAGGTCTGTCATCCACAAGGACAATCCTCTCAGGCACTGACTCACCCATCCCCCAACTCCAGTGACCTCCACTCCCCTCCACCATGCCCTGGACATTATTTTTTTAATCACCAGGAAAGAAAACTCTGAAATATTATATGCTAGTATTATTTTTATGCTGTAGCTCTCTTTCCTCCCAGCTCTCTTTTGTCATCACACCCCCCCCCCCACGCCCCAACACACCTGTGCTTTGACCTCCCTGAACTCTTGTCTCCTGATAATCCACTTTCTTTCAGGTTATCCAGGCTGACTCAGAGTCCCCCACTCTCCATTGGTGCCCTCTCACCAGCTTCTTGACCTCCTGATTCCCCTGTCTGGCCACACTGAGCTGACAACTCGCCAATCCTGCTTGTGTCCTTGGCAGTGGTTCTCAATCTTTCTAGTGCTGTGACCCTTTAATACAGTTCCTCATGTTGTGGCGACCCCCAACCATAAAAGTATTTTCGTTGCTACTTCATAACTGTAACTTTGCTACTGTTATGAATTGTAATGTAAATATCCTTGTTTTCCGATGGTCTTAGGTGTAGTAAAGGGTCGAGGCACTAGAAAGGTTGAGAACCATTGGTCTATGGCATGGAATGTGGCTTGCTTATCCAATATGCATTCATCTCCTCTTACTCAGTTACAGAGCCTTGATTTTATTTGGAGTGGCAGTGTGCTCCCTTACAGATAGGTGAGGGACATATTATTAAATTCTGGCCAATAAGATATAAGGGAACATATGGATAGGACTTCCAAGAAGGCTCCTGGACTATATCACATATTTTTCTTCATCTCTGGCCCTTATCCTTACTGTCAGGAGAACAGATAACTGGAGTATAGTCTTTTGTCCTTTCCTTCTTCTTTTTGTTTCCCATTTAGATTCAGAAGTAATGGCTGGAATCTTTGCAGCCACCTTGGATCATGAGGCAGCCCTCAGGATAGAATCCTAAACAGGACAGTTAGCAGAAAGGTAGGAACCTGAGTGCCTGAGGACTGGTTTCCTGTGCTGCCTGCCTCCAATTCCTTTTACTTATTTATTTTTAAAAATATGATTTTAGTTATTTCATAGAGAGAGGGAGAGGAAGATGGAGATAGAAATATCAGCGATGAGACAGAATCATTGATTGGCTGCCTTCTGCACACCCCCACTGGGGACTGAGCCCACAACCCGGGCATGTGCCCTGACCAGGAGTTGAACCATGGCCTCCTGGCTCATAGGCCAAAGCTCAACCACTTAGCCACGCTAGCAGGGCTTTTTTTACATGAGGGGAAAAAGCTCTCCTGTATCTAAACCATGGTTACTTGTGGTCTCTGGAGCTAGCAGTGAACACCACCCCTAACCGATGAGTCTTAAAGGCTTCTAAACTGCATGGCTGAATACTGGTGTGGAAAATACAGGTATGTGCACTGATACTTTCACAGGTTTATGGCTTCATGCCTGAGTCAAATCCTGAAACACTATCATCCACTTCCTCAGTGACTTTATTACATTTTTCTCTTCATCTCTGGCCTTCACGCTCATTGTCAGGAGTAACCAGTGTGGTATTTTCCTTGAAGAATTAAAAAAAAATCCCTATTTTTATGCAGTTGAATTTATCAATATTTTTGTTTATTATTTTTTTGGTTTTATATCATACTTAGGGAGGTCATCTCCACTCCATGCTTCCAGCACTTTGTATTGAATTACTCATTTCCCCCCATTGATTACATTTAATTTACTAAATTCTTGCATATATTGGGGTCTATTATTATTCTGCCTATATTTTGAGTTTTTCTTTTCTTCCATTACTTTAACTTTTATCTGTTTGCTTATTACGTATTGCAGCTACTCTAAATGCATTATGTTTAATTGTCATGACAACCCTGGGGTAATTACTAATATTATCCCCATTTGCCGAAACCAGTTTGGCTCAGTGGATAGAGCATCGGCCTGCGGACTGAAAGATCCCGGGTTCGATTCCGGTCAAGGTCATGTGCTTTGGTTGTGGGCACATCCCCAGTGGAGGGTGTGCAAGAGGCAGCTAATCGATGATTATCTCTCATCGATGATTCTAACTCTCTATCCTCTCTTCCTCTCTGTAAAATATCAATAAAATATATTAAAAAAAAATATTATCCCCATTTTACTGATGAGTAAGTTGAAGCACAGAGTAATAGTACCACTGTGCCAGAGTTGACCCAGCTGAGATTGATTGCAGGCAGTCAGATTTTATGCTCTTCATCTTTGTGCTTTAATATTTAAGAGCGCAGGCTGGCCAGTGTGGCTCAGTGGTCTACATATGAACCAGGAGGCCATGGTTCAATTCCTGGTAAGGGTTGTGAGCTTCATCCCCAGTGTGGGGTGTGCAAGAGGCAGCCAATCAATGATTCTCTCTCGTTATTGATGCTTCTCTTTCCTTCTCCCTCTCTGAAATCAATAAAAATATAAAAGAATAACTAAGAGGGAAAATTTTGTAAATTTTTAAAACATAATTTAAAATCAATTTTGGATGGTGTTGGGGCATAAATAATTAATTCCTCTAACCATGCTCTCTCTTTGAGCTGTAAATGCAAACATTCAAATTTCTTTTATTTTTTTTGATATATTTTATTGATTATTTACAGAGAGGAAGGGAGAGAGATAGAGAGCTAGAAACATCGATGAGAGAGAAACATCGACCAACTGCCTCTTGCACACCCCCTACTAGGGATGTGCCCGCAACCAATGTACAATACATGTCCTTGACCGGAATCGAACCTGGGACCTTTCAGTCCGCAGGCCGACGCTCTGCCACTGAGCCAAACTGGTTTCGGCAAACATTCAAATTTCTGATGGACATCTCTACTCACCTGCCCACATGGGTATCTAAAATATAACATATCCCAAACTAGAGGAATCATTTTTCTCCCCCAAATAAGGCTTTTGACTTGCTATGGTCCCTAATTTACTTGTTGGTTTCAAACATGGGACTAGTTGCAAACATGGGACTTCTTCCTGCTTCCTTGCTGCTACATCAACCCAATCATCAAGTCTTATTGGCTCCCTCTTACCCTTTTCCAGAATCTGACTCTCTCCACAGACCTATGTATCAGCAAGGTGAAGTGTGTAGCTGCCTCTTGGCTGCTTCATGTTGCTTCTGGAATCGTGGATGTAATTTATGTGGTCTTCTTTTCCATAGCACTGAGCTATACACTTAAATATGGTTAAAATGGTAAATTTTGTAGTGTGTGTCTTTTGCCACAATAAATTTTTTGGTGCCTCCTCCATCGCACTGAATTACTTTTGGTTTCCAGAATGGTTTTCTATGCTTGGAAGAACAGTGATCTCTATACCACCCTCACCACTTCCCTGGCAAATTCTTCTTTAGTCTTTGAAACTTTGCAGATATTACTTCTTTGGAAAGTCCTCCCTGGTTCCTCTCCTTCCTCCCAATCTATCATAGTTCTTTCCAAGTGAGGCAATTAGCCCTTGAAATACCTCCTGCTCCCTCTGAGTTCCTTGACAGCAGCAACTCTGCTTTATTTACTTACTAGAGGTCTGGTGCACAAAAATTGTGCATGGTAGGGTCCCCAGGCCTGGCGGAAGATCAGGGCTGATCAGGGCCTTCCAGCTGCCAGCTGGGGCCTTCCTCCATTCTGCACCACACCCCAGTCAGTGCATGTCATAGTGAATGATCAAACTCCCAGTCTCCTGGTCAAATTCCCGAGGGGACACTTTGCATATTAGCCATATATATGGCAAATATATATATATATATATATATATATATATATAAAACTCCAGTCATAAGCCAGATCCTGGAAAAGGGGTATCCTATTAATGTTTGCTGAGCTAAGCAACTTTCTGTCCCATCTGCTCCTCTCTCCTTACTTTTCTCAGGGCAGATCTTCCCCTCCCCATGATCCAAAAGGTGAGGACTAATGATAAATTGTTAAGTCAAGAACCAAGAACTGGAAAAATGATCAGATTTGTGGAGAGAGGTTTGTCTGGAGTGGTGGTTCTCAAACGTTATTACTCACAGACACCACTTGAGGAGAATGCTAATACCATTTGAAGTCCAGACCTCACCCCAGTAAGATTTTGCAATTTTAACAGGCTCCTGTGTTCATTCTGATGCAGGTGGCTTCAGAGAAACACCTGGTTGGGAAGATTCTAGAGAGAAGTGGAGTCTCTGACCACTTACCTTTGCTTCTCCTCCACCCGAGGAAGATCATCAATCCCAAAATTGCGAGTATGAGCACGGCCCCCGCCAGTGCCACCCCCACGATCGCTCCCTGAGGCAGGGGCCCAGACGCTGAGGCGCTGAGGCCTTCTGTGGTGCTGCTGCTGGTGGTAGGGATGGTGGTGGTGGTGGGGTCCGTGGTGGTTTTCTCGGTGGCTGAGGAGACAAGAGAAACAAGCAAAATCTTCCTTAGGGGATTGGAGGTATCTGAGTGAAGCTGTCACGTCCTGTTCTCTAGTTGGAGGAACACTGTGGTGGGGAGCAGCCCTCGGAGCTCTCACACAAGGAAGGGGTTAACAAGGTGAAACGCTGAAGGCTTATCACATCCATCATCCAGTTCAAATCCTGAAACTTCCACCGATTATCGATTATCGGTGTGACCTCAGAACCTCATTTCATCACCTACAAATAAGGATAACTAGATCACAGGACTTAAAAAAAATTTATCGTGGCAAAAGACGCACAACATAACATTTACCATTTTAACCATATTTAAGTGTGCAGTTCCGTGGCAGTGAGTGATTTATATCGTTGTGCAACTCTCACCCTCAGCATCTCCAGATCTTTGTCATCTTCCCAAACTGGAAATCTCCCTATTAAATAACTTCCCGTTACCCTCACCCCAGCCCTGACACCCACCATTCTACTGTCTGTGTCGAGGAGTTGACTGCTCTAGTTACCTCATATAAGTAGAATCGAAGAGTACTTGTCTTTTGCAAGATTGTTTTAATAAGTGAGAAAACATCTGTAAAGCACCCAGTACATACTGGAAATATGTTTTTAAAGCGACATTAGTATATATTGAACTTTAGCTTCTACACACAGTATACCTTTGTTGATTTAAAAAAAATACATTTTATTGATATTTTACAGAGAGGAGGAAGGGAGAGAGATAGAGAGCTAAAAACGTGGATGAGAGAGAAACATCGACTAGCTGCCTCTTGCACGCCCCTTACCGGGGATGTTCCTGCAACCAATGTACATGCCCTTGACCGGAATCGAACCTGGGACCTTTCAGTCCACAGACCAACGCTCTACCACTGAGCCAAACCGGTTTCGGCACCTTTGTAGATGTTTAATGTATCATTAAAAAACTGATAATAAGTACTAAGGCACAGGAAAAAAATCTAACTCTAATAAAATCTTTAGGTTAGCATGGGTCAAACTCTCTGTCTACTCTTGTTAGAAATTAATACAGGAGACACAGAGAAGGTACAGGAAGAATAAAACTAAGCCTGTGTATGTAATTCAGGTTGTGAACCACTTAATAAATTATCTAAAACCAGCTCTGTGGTCAAGACAGGTCAGTGGTTTACCCAGGCTGGGAGGAGTGATTCATCACTGCCATAGTTAAAGTTGCCAGCACAAGCAAATCGAGCCCAGCCAGGTGTGGCTTGGCGATTGAGCATCGACCCAGGAACCAAGCGGTCACCAGTTTGATTCCTGGTCGGGGGCATATGCCTGGGTTGCAGGCTCGATCCCCAGTGTGGGGCATGCAGGCGGCAGCCAATCGATGACTCTCTCTCATTATTGATGTTTCTATTTCTCCCTCTCCTTTCCTCTCTGAAATCAATAACAAATATATATATAAAAAAAAGTAATTCAGCTCACCATGCACCCCTTTATGCTGGGGCCTGGGAGAGAGCCCCTCCCTCACTAACCTGGAGACAGATAAGCCACACCTTCTCCTCTTCAAGTTCCCCCATCCCAGTGAGTAATATAGGAAGATCTATTAACAAAGCACACCCCAAGTGGGTTAATATAGGTCAAGACAACAAGATGATCGAGTCAGTAGGTGAGACTGAGTGGCTAAAGGTTGAGAGAGGAGGCTCTGGGATTAAACTGGGTTCCAATTCCCCCTGCACCATGAAGGTGACTTTGTGTAGAGCCTCAGTTTCCCCGTCTGGAACGGGAAGGTGAAAGCGGTTCCTACTATAATTGCGGGGTCGTGGTGCAGGGTAACTGGCGATGCCTACCGAAGGATTCAGGTGGGGCAGGGGCACAGGAAGCGGGAGCCGCCTTGTTGCTGATGCAGAGGGGCCTCTGACAACCAGGACAGAGGGAGAGGGGCCACACAGCGCTGTGTGTGGTGGGAGGGAGGGCTTAGGGGGGTTGCTGTGGGAAACAAAAGGGATCAGAGAATGAAGATGGGAAGAGGGACATGGGAAGGAGAGGAAGGGGATGAAACTGGGGAGGGAGCACTGAGGGCCATGTCCTGGGCAGCAGAGTGAGGAAAGGAAGCAGGGAGACTGGGACAACAGGTACTGAGGTGTTACCAGGGGCTGAGGAAAGGGGTGGGAGATCCTTGGGCTGCTGTTGGGTCCCTCCTGTGTGTGTGAGGCTGAGCTCATGGCTGTGGGGGACACTGACAGGGGCCAGCGGGGGCTCCACCTACAGACACAGGACAAAGGAAAGGCAGGCCACATCCTGTAAAAGCCAAGGCCACCTGGAGGACATGGGGTGCAGGCAGGAGGCAGGGCTGCAGCGCCACTTGGAGCAGGAAGGGAGATAACCAGGTGGGAGGTGCTGAGGCCTGGGGGTGGGGTAGGGGCTGGGTCTGGAGGGGGCAGTGAGGAGGATGGGCAAGGAAGGCAGCCTGAGTTTGGGGGAGAAGAAGGTGAAGAAGGAAAAGCTGGCAGAGGCCTGGGAAGCAGGCGGGGGCAGGGAGAGGAGTCTGAGAGAAAGGTCGGGAAGAGAGGAGCCTGGACCAGTCCTGGGAGACGAGGGCGCTAGGGGCCGGGGCGGCGGGACTCACCTCTGGTGATGGTGAGGTTGGTCCCTTCGATGGACTGCCACACCTGCTCGCCATGGTCCCGTGTGGTCAACCGGACTCGGAAGAAGTACTTAGTCTCATCCTCTCTCCGCAGGTTAGAGATCCGGAGGGAGCCACTCGTCTGGCCCTTTGTCCAGTTCAGGAAGAGGCGGTTTTTAAAATTCTCACGGGTGAACGGCAGGGTTGTGTTGTAGATGAACTTTCCATGGAAGTCTTTCCATCGCCAGGATATACTCATTTTGGGATCGCTGGCTAACTGCCAGGAGTAGCAGAAGGAGAAGGGGATGTCGATGGAGCCACCCTCAGGGGCTGAGAGGTGCTCTGGTTGGTAGACTCCAAAGTTAGGGTTTAACTTGCATTCTGCTGAGCCACCTGGAGGAGGGAGGGAGAGGGAGGGACTTTGAAGCCACTTGGAGGGACCAAGAAGCTAACCCGGCCCATCTGGCACCCTCACCTACGGGCGGAAGTGGGACACATAATAGGACTGTCCCTCTGGCTGGGTGTCCCCCTCTCCAGGCTTGGGGTAGAAAGGAGGGTGAGGGATGTGGGGGACCCAGCACTGTGGGACCAGCCCAACCCATTGCTTGTTGCAGGTGGGAAGCCTGGCTGGCCACAGCCTCTCCCGGGCTCCCCTGGGACCCTGTCAGAGCCAGGGCGTCCTGGCCACTCACCAGCCTGCAGAGAAGCTGCTGGCAGCAGGGGCAGCAGCAGGGGCAGCAGCAGGGGCGGACCCATCGCCTTGCTCTCCTGGGCAGTGAGACAACAAGCAGAGCTAGCGGAGGGCAGGCTCGGTGGAGGGGCGGCCTCAGGCTAGTCTGACCACGGGGAGGGCAGGATCAGGCTCCTTCCGAGGACTGGGGGGTGGGAGCCTTCCCCAAACAGCCTGCCCCAGAACGAGCAGCACTTCCTTTTACAATCTGGCTTCCTTTCTGATATTGCAGAAGAGCTTCCCCTGTGGTCAGTGACCAAGAGCCATGATATGGCCCCGTCCCCATCGTCATGCTGGCAGGTGTGGTCCTGACCTTGGCTGCCGGGGCCTCTCCCTCCCGCCTCAGCTCCCTGTCTCTGCCAGGGACTTTCTCATCTCCTTGGGAGTCAGTCCCATCTCTCTGTCCCTCACTCCCTCTCCTTTTCTCTGCTTCTCTGAGCGCCTCTCAGCCTGTTTCTCTCACTGCGGGGGAAGGGGCAGCAGCAGGACCAGCTCAGGCTCTTTCAGGAGAGGAAAGGCAGCCAGGAGTCTGTCCAGCCTGGGCCCCTGGGAGGGGAGGAGGGAGGCGCTGGTGGAGATGCCCTCCACCCCAGGGGCATCCAGCTGGCTCTTGGGCCCTCGCCCTCCCCTGGCGTTCACGGGCAGAAACAAGACCCGCAGGCCCCAGTCTGTTCCCTCTGCAGCTCACACCCTCGCTGGGGTTGGGAGGTGAGTGTGGGCTGACACTTCCATCTCCCCAGAGAGTGTGCTTTTTGGAGCCACGCCTTCACCCACAGAACTCAGGTGTGGCTCTGAGGGCCTCTGACTTCACCCTTCACGTATGAGACGACCAAGGCTCGAGAGGGTGTGCCCAGTCCATGGCCCTCAAGTGGTGGGTCCAGGACTGGATCCCCACTCTTGCTGAATCCCAGAGCCTCTGGATGCCGGATGCTGGTTGCACCAGAGTCTCTAGGCCTCGGCACCAGATGCAGAGCTCTGAGGCCTAGCTGCAGGAGGCTGTGCTTTTATAATGCTCCTTGGATGATCCCGTCCACCGCTGTGGGAGCCCTGGCTAATCCAGAGTCTTCCCTGGACAGAGGGGGTTAAGCTCAGAGCAGTAATGGGGTCACCCAGTGACAGCCCCTGGGGCCACCCCTACTGGAGGGCACTGCCAGCCTGTGACGGGTGGTGACTCACAGGAGGCTCTGCCCATGGCTCCCCAGACTGAGCTTGGCATCAGCTTGCTGAGTAGACTGTGGGAGTGGGTGGACATGACTGCATCAGAGGAAGTGACCTTGGACCTTTGGAGGTGGAAGCAGCAGACCAACTTCCTTTTCAATCAGTTTCTTCTACATTTCTCCCACAGCCAGCCAGGCAGCTCGCCCCCCTCTCTGTGTCTGCTTTTCATACCCTTCCTGCCAGGCCTGGGAAAGAGGTTTCACATTTGTATGGAGGCCTCTTATCTGACTCAGTCACAAAACATCATTGCCTCATTTCAGCTTCACAACATTCTGTGGGGGGTTTATTGTAATCTCCATTTTACCCACAGGGAAGTTGAGGCGCAGAGCTTAACGTCATTCAGTCCTCTGGGCTGTGAAAGATGCTTGGGTGGCCTGGCCAGCGTGGCTCAGTGGTTGAGCGTCAACCTATGAACCAGGAGGTTTGGGTTTGATTGCCACTCAGGGCACATGCCCGGGTTGTGGGCTCAGTCCCCAGTGTGGGGTGTGCAGGAGGCAGCCGATCAACAAGTCTCTCTCATCACTGATGTTTCTATCTCTCTCTCCCTCTCCTATTCTCTCTGAATTCAATTACAAATTTTTTTAATTAAAAAAATAAAATCTCAATTTAAAATGAGCTAAATATTTGAATAGATATTTTGTGAAAGCAGATATATGGGTAACTAATAAGCATGAGAAGATGGTAATACCATTAGTCATTGGGGAAATGCAAGTGACCACCACCATGAGGTGCCATCAAACACCTGGTAAATGACTAACATTAAAGAGCTGACCAGACCACCTGTCCGCAAGGATGTGGAGCAACTGGAACTCTCAGACACCACGGGGGGTGTGTGTATGTGTGTGTGAAATGGCACCATCACGTTGGCCGTTCCGTAAAAGTTAAGCACACACCTAACATATGACCTAGTCATACCGCTCACCAGTATGGCAGTGCTGACCAGCAAGGCCAGCACCACCTGGGAACTTGTAAGACATGCTCACTCTCAGGTCCCACCTTGACCGGTGAGGTTGAGAACCACCAGAGTTTGACTGAGGGCCTGCCTTGTGTGCTCCTTTAATTTTCACAGCAATTCTGTGAGATGCAGGAATTTCATTCTCACCTCACAGAGAGAGAAACAGACACTCCAAGAGTTTCCCGCTCTCCCATCTCCTCTCTTCCTCTGGCGTGTGAACCTCCCTCAGGTCTATGGGCCTTGTGAGCTGGATGCTTAACCCACTGATTGCTCCCAGACCCTCACAGCTTATCCTCCCTCCCTCCCCCCTCCACCCACAGCCTTTCGCAGAGAACGGTGATCATTGTGCCTCATTCAGCTGCTGCTCACCAAGGTCTGGGGAAGCAAAGAGTGCGGTCCCTGAGGTGGGGCAGGCCCGGGAGCCATGGCCCAGTGACATGCCATCTCTGAGGGACAGGAGAGGAGGAGAGACTCGGGGGACAGTCTTGGTCCCTGGCCTTCCCCATAGTCTGTGCCTCTGCTGACGTCCCCCTCTTTACTTCCCCTGTTTTCCCTCAGGGCAGGGGACCCGAGAGGGTTCATCCTGGCCCGGGGGGGGGGGGCGGGGGGCGCAAGCCTGCAGTGAGCCCTCCAGGAGTCAGAGTCCCGCTGGGAAGGGAAGACTCGCCAAGTGACACACGTAGAGAAGGCCCAGACCCCAAGTTAGAGCTGAAACAGGCAAGGATGACCCTCCCACTTTTTGGCTGCCGGGAGCTTTGCAATTGTATTAAAGATGTTTTCTTAGTCACTGTATCCTTTTTAATGTTTCTTTATTTTTTTAAATTTATTTTTGAAAGTATTACAGATGTCCCCTCTCCCCCCCCCGCCCCCCCCCCACCCCCCCATTGACCCTCTCCGCCCCACACCGGCCCTCCCTAGCCTTTGCCACATCACTGTCTGTGTCTCTGGGCTATAAATTCCTCACCTCTCACCCCCATCTTCCCTCTGAAATTCTTCAGTCTGTTCATGGTCCTGTGTCTCTGGATCTATTTTCTTCATCAGTTTATTTTATTCATTAGATTCCACATATGAGTGAGATCATGTGATACTTATCTTTCTCCTACTAACAATATATTAAAAAGGTCAAATGGGATTTATTCTGGGGATGCAAGGCTGATACAATATTCACAAATCAACAAGTGTGATACATGACATAAACAAATTGGAAAACAAAAAATCACATGATCATATCAATTGATGTAGAAAAAACATTCGATAAAATCTGACACCCTTTTTTTTGATGAAAACTCTCAGTAAAGTGGGAATAGAGAAATCATACCTCAACCTAATAAAGGTCATATATGACAAACCTACAGCCAACATCATACTCAATGGGCAAAAATGAAAACCATTTCCCCTGAGAACAAAAATGATTGTTTTCTTTGTTGTTTTTTAAAAATATTTTTTATTCATTTCAGAGAGGAAGGGAGAGAGAGAGAAAAGTCAATGATAAGAGAGAATAATTGGTGGGTTGCCTCCTGCATGCCCCACACTGGGGATTGAGCAGGTGACCTGACCAGGAATTGAACCATGACCTCCGGGTTCAAAGGTTGATGCTCAACCAGCCTTTGATATTTGCTGTATCCTTGATGCTCTGACATCCAGGGCCTCACTGACCAGGGAGAGATTGCTCCTCCCAGGGCCGCCCGATTCTCAGACCCAACAATGGACTTGCCGAGGAGCAGGCCTTTCATATGCAAGCCTCCAAGTCCAGAGCTCAGAATCCATCCTCCTCCTCTCTCTGGCTCGCGGGCTCCCGGAGGCTAATATTCGGTTACTTTAGTCACCCAGGGCCATCCAGACACCAGACAGCGCGGGACAGCCCTGATCCCCGGGGCCTGCAGAGACCATTCAAACTGGCCACTCCCAACCCTGCTCTCCCTGCCAGGCTTCCCTGCTGTCGTTTCCCCGGGCTCCCCCTGCCTTACACCCACGCTAGTCCCAGGCCGCGCCTCCTGTTTTTAGGGATCTGTGAGTATCAACTTCTTTCCCTGTGACAGTCTTTCTTATGTTTGTGTGTCTTACCATAACATGATTTAAACAAATCTAGGGTGCATTTTTAAATAACACAACTCCCCCAGCCGCCTCAGGAGCGAGGCAGGGTCTGTGAATGGTCCTCATTTTGCACAGGAGGGAACTGAGGTCCTGAGTGAAATTATGAGTCTCAACGGAGGTCACATGGCCAGTGATCGTCTGCTGTGCGGCCGGGGCTGAGCCCAGCGTGCACGTCCGCGCTGCTCCCCCACCAGGGACCAGAGTGACCTGGGCATAAAGCAGCCGAGGGCTCCTTTGCCGTGCTGCATGCCTGCGCACACGGAGGCGTCTGAGGCCTGACGGGGTACGGCTCCTGCAGCTTTGGGGCCTTGTCACCTGGTGGTGGGTGGGGCAGTCAGTGCTGACCAGCGTGTTGAAATATAGTGGCAACCATAATTTGGTAAAAACTGCTGTTTGAATTTTAACCCTGCTAAGTCTGGCTCCTGCCTGATTAAACATGGAATACTTACCTCAGCTTCCAGGTGGAGACCTGGAGGCTGAGGCAATTCTCCCTTGCCTGGGACCAGGAGCACAGGAGATTGATTCCCACCAACTCAGTAGCTTCGGGGATAGAAACTGTAGATAACCTTTAGAGACTAACCGCTGAGCTCTGCTTCTGTGTTATCGGCTATCGCAAGATAGGGCCACATTCCAATGTCCAGCAGGATGTGACTAGCAACGACCCTGCGGGCTGACCCTAGTCTTTAGAATGTAGTCTTTAGGATTTAAAATTAAAACAAAGGAAAATTCCTGTGGTTTGAACCTTTAAAAGGGACTGCCTACCTCTGAAGCGGCGGTCGTGTGGGGTCCACCTGAGTGTGGTGCTCTCGCGGCTGTCCTGGCCAGATAGTTCAATAAATTCTTGCCTGCTTTTTAATCAATCATCAGCCTCCGGTGGTCTTATTCTGAACCCAGGGTTCAACCCCACAACAGTGTATGGGAGGAACGGAGAGGTCTTTAT